GGATTTTAGTTATGAGTATGCGTAACTAAATCCTTTTGCTAGGGCGAGGCCATAAGCCTTAGCATGAATATGTAATTTTATTAATTTGCTTATGAATGGAAGCATGTTGCTTTGAATTATTAATCACTGTGTTTAAAACTATCTATCTATTTTAATGACTGATCACCATTAGGATGTTTAGACAAGTAATTTGATATCCCTGAAATTGACGCTGGCTTCTTGTGGTTAATAATTGTAATTTCACTTAAGATGAACACCACGTCTTAAGGGTTGCATGGTTTTTCAAAGGGTTTTCACAAAGCTTAATGAGTCTTGCATGTTTATATTTGATCTGAACATCACAGACGGATTGCATGTTAGATATACGTTTTCGCTTGAACATCACAAGGAAAATATGCATTAGGAAAACCTAACCTTCAAAGCATATATGTGGAAATTCATAAGTAATTGATAGAACTGTATAGGATTGTGACGGCGACGGCTAAACCCTAGTTTCTCTATATATATTATTAATTTTAAAAACGTTTTTATTCTCTGCTATTATTACCTCCCAACTTTCAGATTTCTTTTATTGTCAAGTTAATCTTTTCAAATTCATAAATTTCACATCTTTGATAAAATCCATATTAGTTATTAATTAAGAGTTAGTTTAATTACAGATTAGTCAAACAATCTTTGGGGACAACGACCTTGCATGAGCATCTATACTACAATATCCTTGTATTCTTGCAAGTATTTTAAGTGATTTTAACTCTGTTTGCGCAGGTACTAAAAATCCTATCACATATAAATATCAAGTCCCTACTCAGACAATTAGACCAGCAAAAAGGCATTCAAAACCCCATCTAGAATAATAGCTTAAAGGATCATTCTGAGAAGAACTTGGTTACTCTCTGTTCAACTATCACGGCAGCACCAATGGCTCATGATCAAGGTTAGTGTTTTAATATATGCAGCCTATATAGTTTACATAAATATCCCAAAATAAGTACTGTTTTGACTCATCATCCGTGGCTAATTGTTTTTCAGCCACAAATATACCGTGCCATGTGTTTGGTGCCACAGATTAATTAACAGTAACTGTGTGGCTATTACATCAGCAGTGGCCACCATTCAGATGCAGTGGCTAGGAAAACAGTGGCTACAACTCAATTTTCTATTTAAACGGGATGATTGAGGGGCCGGTCCGACCATTTGACACCTCTAAATGGATGGATGAATTACATTCGAACTTGGAGAACCAAGGCTAATTTTGGTTAATTATTGATCTGTGGCTGCCAACCAAAATCATAGATTGAAGAGTGAGTGAAAATTTCTACAGTTTAAAAAATAAAATACAATAAAATGGATGAAAATAAAAAATTGTCGGGATCTATATGACCACAAAAGTAGGGTACGTTCCCTATTTTCTAGTTAGTGTTTGTTTGATGACTTGTGGGGCTCAGAGTCAGTTATTTAATCATCTTGACATCGAATTTGTTGTTGATGGTTCTGGGTTTGACTCAGACATAAAATGATGATGAATGATAGTATTGATGATCTCCCAGAGCTTTTATTGGTTGAAATCATTTGTCGACTTTCTTGTATTAAGTTTGTTTTTCAATGCAAGTGTGTGTCCAAGCGTTGGTGTGAACTCATCTCTAGTTCTCATTTTGTTGGGCAATACGTACGTCGCCAACGTGATTTGAAAAAGCCCATTTTAGGTACATTAGTTGTAGACAATGGAACATTCTTTCATGTGGAAAACGAGGATGGTCTGATGAGTTTGCAGCTACCCGTTATTTCAGAAGCCGCAGAACAAAAATTATTTGTGGTAGGGGCGTGCAACGACTTAGTTTTGTGCTGCCCAAGCAAACTTGATCACCGTGAATATTACATTTGCAATCCATACACCAAGAAATGGGTTGCTCTTCCTCCCCCTCCTCGAATCCATAATTACGTATCCGTAGGGTTCATTTGTGATCCCTACTACAACTACAACTCATCCTCCTCCTTTGATAATGATGTTTGCATTAATGCTGAATATAGGTGGAGGGTTGTGAGATTACGTCCAGAGTTCTATGTGGACATCTTCTTTTCTGAGACCGGTGAATGGAGAGAGTCCGCTAATGTGGTATGCGGCTCACGAAAGTATTTTGATATCGTAACTGCAGGCTTTGCTTGCAATGGGAAGTTGTATTTTTCAGGTTCCGATACCCATACATCCTCCTATATTCTGGAGTTGGATCCCTTCCAAGGTATCAGTAATATCAGTACTAGTAATGGTGATGGTGATGGCGATCGTATTATTGTTGACAAATGTCGGTTCAGTCTGGCACCTCTTGATATGTCATCTGACTTGCGGGGATATTCCATTTCGATGTATCTGGTTCTTGGTGCATGTCGAGGGCATTTGCGGGTGAGCGAGTTTGTGCTTGGTAATCATTTGAGTGTCTGGGAGTTGGATGCAGGCGATGATAATTTGAAATGGCGTTTGGTGGTCGACCAAGTTCCCTTCTCCAGATGGATTCTTCCAAGTTTGAAGATCCTTTGATGCCTCAAGATCATTTGATGCCTCAAGATGAGTGGTTAAAATCTGCGTTAGGTTTCCACCCGAATATTGAGGCAATCTACGTAGATGCTAGGAAAATTGTCAGGTGCAACTTTGGTGCAAGAATGTTAGAGTTAGTTCCAGAGATTCCAAGTCGGGGCCCGGATTGGCATCTCTTTTACATCCACCCATTTGTGCTCCCATGGTGGCCCACACCCGTTCCTAGCCTCTAAACTACTCTACTATAGCGAAAAGTAGGTAGACCTCTAGCTCTGACTCTAGCTTTGATGCATGACCACCTTCTTCCATTCTCTGGTTTCTGGCTCTTTTGGCTTTGGCTTTGGCTTGTGTTTTCCCTTGATTGATTCGTATTGGTGCTTCGAGGGTTTCGATTTTGGTGTAGTGGGTGATTATTGTGTGACTATCTTTGTATTTGTGTGCTTATGTTTTGTGATGTTTTTTTTATTTTTTTTTATTTGCCGATTTGTGTGTTTTTGGTTTTTATTTTTTTTGTAGTTTGTTTTTTGTGTTTTTTTTTTTTTGTTGTATCTTGCATATATTCATCCTGAAGGATTCCTCAGGCATCCAACAATCACCTTTAAATTGAATTCAATTTTGGACATCAATAATATGGTTGGCAAAATTTCATTTGGTGTTTATGATATTTGGTAGTCAAAGTCTCCATAGTCTGTATTGTTTATATGGGTGAGTGAATTTTGGGGAGAGCACATCTTCCTGCGAAAATGTGAAGTACTATCTATTCCTACTTTTTACTTGCTACAGGAACAAAGTCGCAGCTAGGTGAAGTACTCCCAATTTCCATATATGGCGTAAGCAATCCTTACTTCTCCACTATGGTCACCGAAAGTCTTCCCTAATTTACTTCTATTCCTGTACGGAACTACTTGATGAGTGGAACGGACTCTAGTCATGTCCAAGGTGTTCATTAAAACTTTTCCTTTGTGTATTTTCCTGTGTTAATCCCATCTTAGCGTAAATCCTCCAGCCCAACAGGCCAACCCAAATTTCCAGCCTAGTCCCCTTTCAGAGAAATTGTAATGAAGGTTGCCTAGCTATTAGACGTTCAAATTGACCCCCTCAACGTACCCTTTGTTATAAAAGCTCATATTTTTTGTTCCACTATTGGAAAAAGTGAAAATTAAGTGCCATTAAACCAAATGATTAGTAGATAATTATTCTAGCGTATTCAATACACTCATGACATACTGATGTGGTATATTGAATCTACCCAAATTATATCACATATACTGATTGTAAGTTCACCATTTAGATATAGATTTTAAATAATAGTATTTTCGTAAGAGTACACGTGTAATAATTTGTAGATGCATCTTCATGAAACATGGTGTATCGTATCAACGCCCTAATTCATCCGTAA